AATATTCGATTACAAATTACAGAAAATTTATGTTTATTTTGTCTGTCTGTCAAAGGGAAAAAATATGACTTTTCCTTTATTTCTCTTTTTGTTGTTGTTTTCGGCTACAGAAAGTTGTTTTCTATTCCTGCAGTATACTAATGTCAAATATACAAAAGGAATGTTACAAACATATTAATTTTTCCATTCAATATTGTCCATTCATAAAGTGTCCAAACAAATTCTTGATGTCAAACAAGAATCAAAGATCAACAACAACAAAATCCTTCTCCACTGTTATTACTAATACCATACAATTCCACACATTGTTCTCATTCATTTAAAATAGAAGATAGTAAGTAATTCATCATTTTAAAAAACACTTATAAAAAGAGACGATAAGACGATTATCGTCTGTTTTCATAATTCATTACACGTTTAAATACAAAAGAACGAGAGAAAGAAATAATTAATTTAACATCTTATCTATATGCCTAATACGTGTTTTAAAATTTTAAATATAAGAATAAATAAATTATTAACAACACTGTAAATCGATATTCTATTATGAATACAATTTTATTCTAATCTATTTGTGTCCTTAATTACTACTCATTGAACAAAGATTATCGGGATAAAAATGAACGTTTTCTTCTATTGAGGAAATTAAAATTTTATTCTAATTGGCTAATACATGTGTATATATTTTAAATATTCTTCTAAACATCACAAGCATGAACCAACTCTACTCTTTAGACTGACAACTATAACTTATTTTTAGTAATTGTCTACAATTATTTATTTACAATGAAGAAAAAAACTATATGAATCCGACTGAATTCTAAATGATTGATCACAGAACTAAACTCTTAATTTGAATAAATCAATTAATGATATTACTTACGTATTGATTACACAAACTATAAGTTGTTCATAATTGAAATGGACAAATAAATTGTTGAATATGAACATGTTCAATTATTTAGTTATCATGTCTCACTATTATATACTGAATACAAAAAATCATTTTTTTCTTCTTCTTTTTCTTCTTTTATCGTTCATTTCATTCATTCATATTGTAAATAATCCATACAATAATAATAATAATAATAATAATAATAATAAATGAGTTTATTGATGAACAAACATACTTGTAGAGATAGTAAAAGAGAATTTTACGTGTTTCATCTCACACTATAATCTTAGAATAGGATCATTATTTTTCTTCATATTACATCAGACAAATCGTATTTTTCCAATAATAAAAGGCAATATCATCATTGGAACAACAATAATAATTATAATATCATCCTAGGGATCAAATAGAAGTAGATAATATACAAATATAATTCTTATCTAATACATCTTTAACTTAGAACTCTAATTTAGTATTTTTGTTCATCAATGAAAATACAAGTCTCGTTATAATTTTTGAATATAAAAGTGAAGACTGAAAATGAGGATTAAATAAATTTAATGAGTTATTGGCATAAAATGATTGTTTTGTAAATGTTAGATTCACACACTCATTGTGTACGATCTTCTAAATGTCATGTGAATTCAATAGAAAAAACATCGACGCTTTTCTCAGTTTCATCTCGTTGTGTACATGCATATACATATAATTATAATCAAATGAAAAGGTTATCGAATGATTCATTAATCCTTATGAAGTAGATTTTGTTTAGGATTCTCTCTCTATTTTTGGATATTCCTCATTTTATTAAAATTCTATTTCGATTCTAAAAAATATCTGAGAGACATCCTAGTAGGATATATTTAAGATTCTATCCAGAAATTCATAGATCGAGACAACAGTAGACAACAAAACAAAAAAATTGAACACTTTTTTTAAATATGTTAATCACAAATATTCTTTTCATTTTATTTGTTACATTAATATGATTTCTAAATATTTCATTTTTGTATCTGATTATTTTTAGCATATCATGAACAATTTCCCGTTATCGTTTTCTTTTAAAATAATAGTTTTTCCCAGACGTCAACGACAATATACGTCAAGATGAAAAACAATTCGATGTTTTTCTCTTCTTTTTTTACAATAACAACAACATGAACAAAATGAAAATAAATTCATCGATGTAAATGATTATATTTTTATTTCTTATATGTTGGAAAAGTTTTTATTTATCAAAGATAATTTGTGATATTTTTATAAAAAAAAAAAAAATAATAAAAATAATTTAGATTAACACATTGTTGAAGGACAATTCTTTTTTTTTTTTTATTTTGTTTTTGTGATCATGGAATAGAAGGAAAAAATATTAAATTCCATTGTTCTCAGTAGTCATTTTTTATTATGATTAAACTAGGAATAAATATTATATGAATACACTCGAGACAATTTATAATCGATGTTTGAAACTCAAACATTTATATATCTAACCTTGTCGCTGTACAAGCACGCATATATTGAGACTTTTTAAAGAATAAATTAAAAGAGAAAAGAAACGATCTCACGAGTACACACATATAACATATACATATATACAACTGGCTTTAATTAAATTTTAATTTAACACTTGTTTTTCACATGATTAACTCAAACTAATCGTGAGTGAAAAAAGAAAATATACTATTATTTGAATTATAATTATAGATTAAATACTAAATTGAAGTTTTCATTTTTTTACTAGTACTCGATTCAACTATACTAGAATTAAGAAATATCAAATATTAAACATAATATTAAGATACAATTACTCGTCTTTTTAAATAATAACTTCATTTTCTCTTTTATCATTCAATGTTTTGTAAATATTATTATCATCAATTTTATATTAAATTAGAGAAAATACTTGGAATATACACATTTTTTTATGAAATATTGGAAAAAATATTTTACTGTTGTTTGACTACTATTTTTCATGAGATTATTCGATAACCTTTTCATTTGATTATAATTATATGTATATGCATGTACACAACGAGATAAAACTGAGAAAAGCGTCAATGTTTTTTCTATTGAATTCACATGACATTTAGAAGATCGTACACAATGAGTGTGTGAATCTAACATTTACAAAACAATCATTTTATGCCAATAACTCATTAAATTTATTTAATCCTCATTTTCAGTCTTCAATTTTTATATTCAAAAATTACAATAAGTCTTGTATTTTCATTGATTAAAAAAAGAATGAATTAGAGTTCTAAGTTAAAGACGTATTAGAGAATGTTAGATAGATTTATTACAAAATATGAATACGAATCATACTCAATAAGGTAAAGAAAAGAGTCCTATCAATAAACTCTTTAACAAATAATGTGTAAAATAATATTTTGATCTAAAAATTTTGAAATACATATTTGTAGAGCTTAATTTAATTTTTAGATTAATCAATTTCATTATGAATTATAATTATTGAATAAAAAATAGGATGAAAAATAGAAAATAACTAATCGATATTGCAATAATGCACATACATTTATTTTTAGGTCATAATTTTGAAAATATTATGAGATATATTTTCATACTGTTAATCTCAAATATTATTATTATATAGAGACAAATGATCATCTAAAATCATTGACTATACAATTGAAAATATTCATAATGACATAAAACTAGTTCAAAACGATAGTTTATATCATCTATTACGCGATAGACAATAAGATCCATATGACACAAGATTGTTTAGATACAATAAAAACGAGAAATATAATGAAACATGATTTAGCGGTGATTGTACTCATAGACAAATATACGATAAATTAATAATGAACAATAGAACTGAAGAAAATGATAATGAGTATGTAGAGTTGTAAATGAGGTGATTAAATGTAACATCTTTAAAATTGAATACATAAAATCTATATATATACTAATATTTCACTCTATTTTTCTTCTTTTTACAGATTTTTTTTATCATAATAAGAGCCATATTATTCATTTCAAACATTCAAAATCATATTTCTAAATTAAATTGAAAGAGTAACTGATGCAGAAAAAAGATATTGTTCAAAACTAAAACTGTATAGAATATTATCAAATAAACGATAATGATGACAGGGATATTGAAAAGAAAAAAAAAATGATATGGTAATTTAATTGAGCTTTGAGTTACAGAATTTAATTGTAAAAAAAGTTTCAATTTCTTTTTAATTCAACATTAACAACATCTGGTGTGTACAATAACGATTCTCATTTATTATCATTATTACAATCGGCGAGAATCAGGACCAAGTTAACGTTTTAGTTAGTAAATAAAGAAATATTAATATGTTCGTTGAAAAGAGAAAAAAAATGACATGCTGAATAATTTGCTAGTATCATGTAAAATGAAGAAAGAGATGTTAAAAAGAAAATTTTCTAATTATTCTGTAGCTGCTGTTATAACGTCAGCAGACGTTGGTGAAAAAAACGATGAATCAAGTTAAAAATAAGCTATTTTATCCGTAAAACGTAGGGCACAGTGTCGATATCTAAATTTTACATTATCTCTATCACCAACAGAATGCGAAAGGTTTAAAATGGATTTATTCGTATAATGATTTTATTTATTTTCGTGTTTGATTAGCTGCTAAGCGAAAAAAAAGCGTCAGCATTATCGTTAACATACTATGTAGTCAATAGTCTATCTCTTTGATGGTCACAAATGCACTATCAATAAAACGATAACAAATAGTCACATCTTTTTATCACAAATCAATATCACCGTTCTCAACCAGTAAACCTTTCATCTTCAATAAAAAGTGTACTTGCTGATTTATTGAAAATATTAACGTATATATCACTGACTGATAATATTCCCAACTAACGATCATCGCCTTCATTAACAACTCGCCTAGTAACATCTGTCTCCATTTTAATAAAGACTAATATTCTCTCATCGTAAAACAAGACAACATAGTAAAGATTAGATATTTTTATGCTCAATGATATATATTACTAGTACAAATATTATAAAATATATCTAAAAGTACATCAGAAATAAACATTTTTAATCTTATTTATTATTCTTTTACTGTTCATAGTTAAAATAATAGAGAAAAAAGTACTAATTAGATGCTGTTGTCGTTGATGTTATAGTATTGTGATGTATCATGGGATGTGGATTATGATGACAAACATGTATTTCAATTTGTGGTTCAATTGTCCACTCAACAGCTATTTGATTGTCATTATCAAATAATTCTTGTATAACTGTCTCACATTGGAAACGTTGAATTTTATCATCTTGTTTCAAATATTGATCATGTATCATCACTGATGCCATACTGTTTATTTTTAACGTGAACTCTAATCTGAAATATAAAGATATCAGATACTCTTATTATTTCACAGCGAGGAAAAGAACCTATTCTTATTCTATTCATTAACAGGTCATCTGACTTTTCTAATTTCTAATAGACCTTTGATGTTCCGTTGCTAATTACATTCATAAAGATTTTTTGAGAGTACTCAGATAACACTTTTCCATCGCTTTCGATGCAGTGAGTACAACATGACTAAGTGAAAGAATCAGTTTGACAAATGTTCAATGCATTTCGAGACTTTGATCAATTCACTATATTTTTAATCGATATTTGTTTAATGACTTTTTCATTTTCGGCATTTTTTCTACTCAATCGTTCCGGCGGTCATCAATCGAATGATGTTTGAGGCTTGCTTTATTTTCTTTTTCTCATCAAACTCATACCGATACATCTCATAACTGTATGATTATCGCGTTTTTTCTCCTACGATTCCTCAGAGAATAACTTTTTAATCTTTCTCGTTTTAACGACTTAGCAAAAACGTTTTAAACGCGCCGTTAATTATTTGATTTAAATGATAGTAAAACTTCTAAAAAAATGGTTATAAAGAATTTCAAATTTTCTACAATGAAAACGCGGTTGAACTAAATGGATGAACTATAAGAGTTGAGTTGAGAACTCTTTTTTTTTCATTAAGTATATATGCAAATTTTTAATATCTTATTTCTACCTATTGTATCGTTTTTTCTATGAAAATATTTGTATTCCATAGTTGGAGATGAACTTATAGAGAAACTGAACAGACTAATTGGAATCAGTTTTTTGTCGGTATCACAGTTTTAATATATTTTTCTCCAAAAAACTAAAAATCAATCAATTTTTCTTAAGGTAAATATGTATTCTACTGTATGAAAATCGTTCTTTGAGCTTTCTTAATAAATAACAAGACAATAGTTCCATTTTAGGCTAGAAATTGATGTTTTTCGATAAATCAGTAAATCTTCAATTAAACGAGTCTCTATTTAACTGTCCGGCGTGCCTACCGATCAAACTTCTAGCTAGCCGATTGAATTGGATTCTAATTGATATATTTTCCATTAATTTCACCTCGGTCATGAGTTTAAAACAGAGAAGATAAGAGTTGCACTAAAAGTTAGTTCTCTTCTCAGAAATAAAGTTACCTCAATGAGAGTTTACCCAATGGTCTAAAGATCTTAGTTGCATAAATACTATGAGTAGAACTAGTTTACTTAAAAATACAATCTTCAGACTGTTGATGGTACTGTTATTATGCAGACTTGTCCTTGTATATACAGACATCTATATCTATTTAAACAAATGTCTTTATATGAATTCAAAGAATTCTTTAAAAACTAAGACGTTTTTAAGACTTACCTGATCCGGTATGATTTCACGTCGTTTATTAAAATATAAATTCAGTTGAGCCCAAGTTTGACTGAAGAAAAAAACTAAATTTATTTTGTTTTGAGGTTGTAGATTTCAATGTTTTTATAAACGTGTCTGATATTTAGTAGTAATACAAAAATGATCGATTGTATTAAATTTAAAATATGCGCATGTCTATATCGAAAAGTGGTAATCAATAGTGGTGAAATAGACTAGAATAAGAGAATAAAAAATATGAGTTCAATGAGGAAAAAAAGTTGTAGAAAAAAGAAATTAAAATATTTTAGAGTAGTTCTTTTTCTAAAAATGGTCCATGACCGTGTCTTTCTTTTCTTCTTTTTTTATAATCTACCTGTATGTAGGACAGATACCATGTAAAAAAGATTATTTCGATAAAATTAAAAATAAAGTTTGCACACATTATTTAATAATCCCATGATAACAACCTTTATATAAACAAAGTAAAACTCACGTTTTAGGCTAAGATGAAATATTTATCACTGCAGAATGTACACAATTAAAAAGGTCCCTCATGAGTTTTCATATAGCACATTTAAACGAATTTGATCCTCTATTACCAAAGTTATATTTTTTGAAGTCCCATTCTAATTTGTTTGTCTAGTTTGCGTCGATGACCTCGTTGTCCACATAACTCAACACTGACACTTAGGTAGGTTAATCACAACTTTCTGCAACAGGCGGTTATTCTAATTTAACTGCTATTTGTAGTTGTTGTCTATAGCTCTGGGAGTAGAGCCGCGACCATCAATGTCATCAAGATCTGACATTGAAAACAGGACATCGGTTGTACAAAGTACTCAGCCAACAACAATTGCACAAACATCCAAATTAATTTGTTGGCATCAATAACCAAAAGAACACGTTACTCTTTGATAGCCCCCTTTAATTTCAATAATAGAACTGTTTACTGGAACATGCAACAATCAACTACAGCCGCTGTTTATTTCATCTGTTTAATCAAACGAAGTTACATCACCACTTTTAAAGATCGTGAAATAACAATGGTATACTAGTAGAAATTGTACAAAGATTTTCAATGTTACAGATCTCAATTGAAAATATCGCATTGACGTCAATACCGAGCTATTGAATCTTTGAGCAATCTACCTATGCATTAGGCTCAAGTTTATTTTCTTCTCCATAAGCATCAGAAGATAATAAAAGTGGAGAAAATTCCCCTATTTTGGCTAACAACCAAAGCATCACTATTTCTTTATGCCTTTATTTAGCTTCTAGATCTTTTGTATATCGACATCTTCGAACAAGAAGCCCTCCATTCACAAGCTACCAAAAACAATAAAAGAATGAATAAGAACAACAAGTTGACAGTTCTGTTTTTTCTTCATGCTTAGATACATAATAACATTGGAGCGTTTAATAATACAGCTTAGTGCATTAAAAATATTGTTTTGTGATAGTAAAATTTGTTGTACCGATGTGTTGCTCTAGCTATATTGATAAAAAGTCACACGTAACAACTCGGTTAACACAGACTGAACTACAATAATACACTAATACACATCAACTTTGATGATGAGATATGTTAAATATATCTTATATTACTTTTAACCTACATTTTTTTTTTATTAGTCAAGATCCATTATATCATACACATCTTGAAATTTACAATTTGTTGATTGATATGTATCTGAAACTAAATGATTTAAAATCTGCCGAACAAGTATTTACTTAAATGAGAAGTCAACATAATTTAATCAATTTTACTTCAATGATGTATAATAAAAATTTATTTAGCCATACTCTACAATTATATAAACAAACAGTAGCAGAGAACCGAATCATATGGTCTATCCGTATCTTCTACAAGCATGTGCTGATGGACAGTTTTTTGATAAAGGTAATTGACTTTTTATTTACTATCCCCATTTCAAATTAATATATGACTCACTATTTTCCATATAACTTAAAAATGACAAGAGATTAGGAGTTGCGATTTTCGCCATTCGATAGACGAAGCTTTGAAGCATCTTTTATATAATGAAAAGAAATTTAAAATTTCTTTTTTAACCAGATTTACTCAAAGATCTTTGAAAAACTTATTCATAGTGGCAAAATTTTAAATAACAATAGAGTGAGTTTTTACATGTAAATAGCCAAAAGTTTTCTCTCTACAATGGGAATCAAGCGAAACCTTGTTATTGCGTCGTTTTGTCGTGGTAACGGGTTTCCTAGAAGCATCAGGTCTACTTTACCACGGTGAATAATTCCAATCGTTGAACGATATAATGCAGTCCAACAGCTGAATACAAATGCATATATATGTCAAATAGAATCCAGGTCGTTTCATTGTTACTGTTGACAAGTGTTCTGTCGCACAAAGTCATGGTGATTATCCATTCCACCAGTATGCAATGAGTTTTGATCATGTAAAATTATGGAATTTTTTATGACGTATAGTCTTCGACATTTCTTTGCTAAACGAAATTTCTTTACAACTATCTGGACTATATATTTCGATTAAGCGTAGAGAATACAACTTTTTATATTTGACTGAATGCTTGAAAATAAAGTAAGAAAAGTTATTAACAAGTTTTGTAAACTGTATAGTTAATTAATTTAAACTAACTTTATACAAACATATCTGATAGAAATTGTCGTTGCAAATGAATAGTATAATTCACATAAATCATCCGGAAAGAAGCATAGAAAAACACATTTATACTTCGTGCGTATACAGTTAGTAATGTATCGCAGAAAGGAAAGTACGACATTATGAATATTCACAACATTCGCCAGCTAAGCATCAAAATAAAACATATCGTTTTCCCACACATAATGGCACAAATACAAAGTACTAATATGTTAAAATGCGAAAGATATCGAAAATTTTATGGAGACTATTCCACTACTGTCTGCTTAAGTTATGCCCTATATTCCTTTTTGGAAAAGTGAAGCAAAACGTTCAGCAAAGCATAGTAAAATGCTTCCAAGTCATTATTCGCAATCAAATATAGTTGTCACTCTCAAAAAACGACAGGTATAAATCTGTTCCATTTTCTATTGTTTGGGATATAACTTCGGTTTTCCTTGTAAAATAAGACCAAAAAAACATCGGTGTACATTCGGATATGAATGTTATACTTGTACATATGATTAAATTATTCTCTCTTCGATTCTGTTTCTTCCTTAGCAACACTCTGATCAAAGAAAACATTCGAAGAAAAAAAGATACATCTATCTAACAGAACGAAAAAAAATGGTGGAAGTGGAAAAAAAGCAGGAATTTCTACGCAAAACCAGTTTTTCGCTTATTTCTCGAAAAGTAGACTTTGTACCAAACAGCGGACTTCAGATTCAGACTCTACGCAAAATAACGAATCAGAATATCTATACCGTTTCTTCCCAAACCACCCCGCTGGAAAATAGCCCGATTTTCTATGCAAATACAAAAAGTTTAAAATGAACAAAAAATACTACAAAAAAATGACATCAAATATAGCATTTGTCTCCAGAATTTTTCATCATCCTGCACGTTTGAGAGAAATCATTTCGCATAAACATAAGTGATTCATATATGTACGATCTTTGTGCGGGACTTGAAGTAGAAAGTACTCAGGTCCAAGGATTAGAT